GGACTGAATAGAAATGTTATTTGGAAATGCCGAATATTTTTATTCGATTTTTGTGAAATGACCCTGCAAATAAATCGAATAGAAGCTATACTGTATAGTAAGTAATTATAAATTTACTATAAAATATTTTTTCAAGACAGGTTTTTCCAAACGCGACAGCTTTTTCGCATGACTGTACTTTAACAATTAAAGAAAAGTGGATTATTTATTTTAAGGCTCAACTATAGGGAATGTCGACTTTGGGATATTAATTGCATTGATGAACACAAAGAAATCATTCAAAGATCCATTGTGTTGTATTTTAGCTTCAAACTCCATATTTGTCATTTTTCTCAAAACTAAAAGGATGAGGTCCGACTTTGTACAATATATTGAAGTTGTCGGGGTTATGTTTAATGTAGCTCTGTTGTTCAAAACGCTATTCTTTAAAATGACACTACCTTCTTCTGAGTTGGAAAAGTAAAAGTTAAATACAGATGCTATTCCATCAACTTGATTTGGATCAAGAGATACAGCAAAGAAGTCAAAAAGGTGGCAGAAAGGCAATTTGACAAGTAGATGTTCACTTGCATAACTATCTTTTTTGTATTGAATTTCTTCTTTGGTGTGTTCTAATTCAAACGCACCATTCAAATAAATGTTTCTCCATACCGCACTCTCTTGCATATAAGCCGTTTGTTTGTATACTTCGGCCAACAATTTTCTTGCACTTGTGTTTTGTGGATTTTTAAAGACGACGTGATTTAATAAAGTAATTGCCCATTGAAAATCTCCACTTTCAAACGACTCTTTTGCTATAGAAATGCACTTCTCTTCGCCACCAATAGCTTCAACGTACTTTTCACCCAATTTGGTTGGAGTCAAAGGATTCAAATTAGCCGGATTTGCATCATAAAATCCAAGATAATACTGGCACTCTGCTCTACAGTTATGAGAGACTGTTCCGTAGTAATTTCGATTGTAAAATTCACAAGAAAGTGCTTTAGGGAGTGTGACCTTTTCTGGCAGCTCTGTGAGAGTAGTTCCCAAATTCAATTGCCTTAATGTTTGGTCGTGAATATATTTGTACAAGTCTCTTTGTTTTTCATAATACTTTAAGATATTTTCACGGCCAAAAGTGGGCCAATGGTGTGATCCAAAAGAATATTCTAAGATGTCAGAATACTTAAGCAAGATGTTATCAATGTACTTTGCCCAGTCTTTGCCATTTCTAGCTTGTGCACCTCTTGGGGTATATAAGTTGTGTTGCACTCGATTTACCTCTTCCGCAGCACACACTGCATTGAGTTGTGGAAACACCATCATCATTTCTGTTGGAGCTTCTGCGTTTGGGGTATATATGAAATCGATTTGTACACCGTCGACTAGAAGTGTTTTGTCCTCTCCAATTTCAATTAATTGCGATGGACAGAATTCACTCATTGTACCAGTAGATATTGCAGTACCTAAGCCACAACCAATCCACCCCTTTTCGCCACGTTCAAGGTTGTGCCCAAACATAAATATACTTCTTCTTTCCATCGCAATTCCGGCTAACAAGTTTTCAGACACACTCAGTTTAAAAAGATCCTTTGGGGTATATACTACCGTGTCTTTATCCATCACTGACTCCAACCCACCAATGTGGTCAAAGTGGGAGTGTGTTAAGATCACCGCACTTACTGGAAGATTTTCAACTCTATCTCTTAACAATTTGATCCCAGCAGCGGCGGTCTCAATGCAACACATAGTGTCAATGACTATCCACCCTTTGTGCCCTTTTATGAAAGACATGTTGGCCAAATCGAAGCCTCGGAATTGATAAACCTTATATGGAATGATTTCAAACAGGCCATGAATACGTGTGAGTTGGCACTGTCTCCAAAGGGATGGGTTGATAGTATCTGGACATTTTTCTTTATCCAAAAAGTCTGTTTTGTGGCAGTCAAAAACAACTTCTCCACTCTCTTTTGTGATCTTTCCAGACTCTAATGTACATATAAAGCCACGAGTGGAGTCGGTGAAATCTTGTGTATTCTCAAAGTCCAACTCAGAGAGCACTTTCTTATTGCGTTCTTTCACTAATTCACAGGCCATTTAAAGGTCAAAGATTTGGTATTGTATATATAGTAAAACATTCAAAAAGGGTGTAAATTGAATACATGAATATTGGTTTGGTTTATTATTAAAATGTTAATAGTTTTAAAATGTTTCGTTTGGAATTCGTCGAGAAAAACATACATTTTTTTGATCTTTTGAAATGGTCCACTTTTTGAAATAAATTGATAATGTTCAATTATGTGAAGTTCGACTTGAAAAATTGTTTAATTATGGTAAACTTTAGTTGAACTCGTTAATGTGTATAAAGACGTTGTTTTGTGTTTCAATGAGTTACTGAATATTAAATTATTATAATCTAAGGTAAACTAATGTTGTTTTAATAAATAAAAAACATCTAATAACAGTTTGGTTTTAAACAATAAAATACCAATAAAAATAATTTTAATAAAAACAAAAACAAATAGTTTTTAGTTGTATTAAATAATACAGGTGGTTATTACTACAATAAAGTCAGTACACAAACATCCTTTATTTTATACCGTTTTTGTTAATGTTCCCAACTTACGATAAAAATAAGTCCAAAAATTACTATAATTAATATAACTATTCCAAAACTTAATAACCAATAACACAACAAATAACATAAATAAAATTTAAACATCTAAAAATGAATAAACACAGTTGATTTAACGATAAAATTGAACAAAATGACGGGGAAATGTTGCTAACAAACTAAAAGGAAAGTTTATATACTTTTAAAAAAACGAATTAATAAACTGACTGTTTGAAACAACGTTACTCTCTTTCTTCGACACTCCTTACTTTCTTTGATTTTTGTTGTTTTATATCTTCAGTTAAATTTGTTTGATTCAATGTTGTATTCGATCGATTAATGCATGTTCGTTAACATGTTTTTAACATATTGACATTATGTTTTTTACATCGCGTACCTAATAAATCGTTATATTATTAATGTAAAAAGCATCATTTCTTTGTTTTGGCGTAAATTGTTGACAATCAAATTATTTTTTTGTTTTTCATGTAAATTTTGGATTGTAAAAAAAACAACCAATCATATTCGATAAATAAGGTCAACAGAATAAATAACGTTTTAGGACTGACTTTATAATATAGTTACAGTCAAAATAATAATTAACTTGTTATCAATTATGTTTTGATATACTTTTGAGCAATAAAAGTATATTTTATTGTTATTGAATCTACAAATATATCATTTTTTACTGATTTAAAAAATGATAATAAATCAATTAAATCTAATTAAAATATGGTATTTTTATATAACTTCATCAAACAAAAATACTTATTGTGTACTTCTTTAAATGTTTAACTAGACATTTTTTTGATAAAAATGACTATTCCAATTATTTCTTCATTACAATTGAATTATAAGTATTTATACACATAATTGGTTATATAAAGTAAAAAGGGAGGTTTTATAACTTTATTTTAAAAAAAATATAAAAAAAATTGGGAAAATAAAAACATTACAAAATATAACTTTATTTTCTAATTTGGATACTTTTATTTTTTTATTTAAGTTTTCATTAAACTTGGCTTTTAGTAATTGTTATTCGACAGTTAAATTTATTTTTCATTGTCTGAGAAACTACCATACAAAGATTTTAATTATTATAAATAGTTTTTTTACTACTTTAATTATAATAAAAAAATTATTGCTTTGAAAGAAAACTTAATACTGAATAAATAATTTCAACAGATAGCGAAAAAGGTGATTGAGAAATAAATCTTTAAATTTGATCAGACCTTCAAAATTCACCGATGAATTACAATTTAATAAAATTTACAATAATTAAATCGTTTACAAACCAAACTGAATATCAAATAAAATAATATCAAAAGAATTAATAAAAAAGAATTAACTATTCAATTGTTCAATTAAACTAAACTTAATTTAAATTTAATAACAAAAGTTTAATTCCGAAGAAACTTATTAATACATTTTAATTAATTTAATAAACATAAGAAATCTTACTTCCAGTAGAACATCCACTTCGAGCTCTAAAAGCACAAAAATAGGTTATTATATATATAAAGATAGAAGTATTGAAAAAGTCGAAAAAATAGTTTTTATAAAAAACGAATAATAACTCTATCCTTTCCATACAAAACTTACAAATCATAGACTAATGTTTGTTTGTATGATTATATTCAGTATGAGTCTTTTCCAGGCCGTCTCAGTCGATTGTGTTCCTGGTACCTATATGTCTTCAACCCAATTAGGTGAATGTCCCCAGTGTGAACCTGGTTCTATTTCGACAACAATAAATGCCACCACGTGTACTCCATGTGCAGCAGGGTCTATTCCAAACACCAGTTCTTCTTCTTGTGATTTGTGCCCAAAAGGGTCTTCCTCAAAATATGGGTCAACAGAGTGTACTTTATGTCCTATGGGGTCTCACGCATCAACAGAAGGGTCTTTGTGTGAACAGTGTTGGTACGGTGAATACTCGAACAAAGTAGGTCAAGCTGAGTGTAATTTATGCCCACTGGGAACTTATCAAAATTTTCGAGGGACCACTCAATGTAAAGAATGTTATTATGGGAGGTACGCAGATACCACTGGGTCGGACTTATGCACAGACTGTGCTAAAGGTTACTTTGCTTCTGACATAGGTACTGTTAGGTGCTCTGCCTGTCCAGCTGGAACGTACGCGTCCTCTACTGGTTCTCGAGAGTGTCAACCATGTAGTCCCAACTCCTATTCACTTGAAGGGTCTTCAAATTGTACGTCTTGTACTAACATTGCATGTAATTTATGTGAAACAACAACAGGAAGATGTACATCATGCAATCCCGGGTATTCATTTTCAGTGAATAGCATTTGTGTGATTTGTAGTGCAGGATATTTCTCTACCGGTGGCACGTCATACTGTTCATCGTGTCAGAATGGGTTTTATGCGTTAGTTGGATCCGCTGAATGTAAAAGTTGTAATACAACTTGTAAGATGTGTGACAAAAAAACGGGTCTATGCATTTCATGTGACCCCGGATATTCATATTATGATGGTGTGTGCACCCTTTGTTCGACTGGGTCTTATTCTGAAAGTGGTACTGTGTGTTACTTATGCCCTAATGGCTTTTATACTTCAAAGACGGGAAGTTCTATATGTAGTCAATGTGATGGTTCATGTAAAACATGTGATAGAATAGATGGGCATTGTACTTCATGTTACGTTGGGATGATAACACAAAACGGGATATGTGTTTCGTGTGGAGTTGGGTATATCAGTTATAACAATTATTGTTATGGTTGCAGCACAGGGACATACTCTTCAAACGAAAACAGCGACACGTGCTATAATTGTGACCCTGGTTACTATACCGATTCAGTTGCAAGTTCTGAGTGCAAACAATGTTCTTCAACATGTCGTACATGTGACCCGACAACAGGTTCTTGCACAAATTGTATTACTAATTATTTCATTCAAAATGGCAATTGCGTTACATGTGAAGCTGGGTACAAAATCAACACGAGAAAAAACAAATGTGATATATGTCCAGCAGGGTATTACAGTCAAGCTATGGCTACAAAGTGTAAAGACTGCGATTCAATGACTTGGTCAACTGAAGGTTCCGCCACATGCACTCCTTGTAGTACAAATTGTTCTTCGTGTTCTAAATCAAATGGTCACTGTACATCATGTATAACTGGATATGGTTTTGCCAAAGATAATTATAGATGTGAACAATGTCAAGCGGGGAACTATGCCTATTATAGCAATTGTAAAATTTGTGACGATTTGAAGTATCAGAATCTCAACGGTCAAACAACATGCAAATCGTGTGCTGAAGGGTGTAGCTCATGTAACAAAACCACTGGCGTGTGTATCAATTGTAAAGCTGGATATGGCTATTCCAATGGTGAATGTACTCCATGTGGAGTACAACAATACTCAACAGGTGGTACATCTCAGTGTATGGAATGTCCTTCTGGATGCACAAATTGTATTAAAGAAAGTGGTGTGTGTTCTGAGTGTGAGAATGGGATGAAAAAAGACTCGGGAGTGTGTATTTCATGTTCGAGCAATGGCAATTGTTCTTCGTGTACTTCAACGGTATTTGAGTCTAACAGAAAGTGTGCAATTTGTAATAATGGGTATTACCTTGATAATAACATGTGCAGTCTGTGTAACTCAATTTCAAGTGAATGTTTGGTGTGCTCGCAAACATCCAAGGAATGCACTTTATGTAAAAATGAATATATTTCAACAGAAACTTCTTGTGTTTTGTGTGAACCTGGAGAAGTCAAAACTGGTACAAAAAGCTGTACAAAATGCTATGAAAAAATTCAAAATTGCGAAACTTGTGATTATAACGGAGGTATTCAAATATGTACATTATGCTATGCTCCTTATGTGTTAAGTAATGACAAACAAAGTTGTATTGATTCAAATACAAATAGCACGCATTATGATGAAGATAAACACAATGCCATTACAAACATGAATAATTGTGTTATTCAAATTGGTGACATTTGTTATTTGTGCAATGAAAAAAATTCAGTTTTGAACAACAACAAATGTATTAATATTATTGGAAAATGCTTAGAAGTGTCTATTAAAACGTGTGATATGTGTTTAAATGGAGTGATCACTTCAAATGGGAATTGTAATTTAAATGGATGTGGGTATCAAATGAACACCAACGTGACATCATGTCTACAATGTGCAAACCAGTATTATGGAGACTCATGTGAGTCGCGATTTGAAGGGTGTGCACTTTCAAAAAATGGGATATGTGTTGAGACCAAAATTGGGTATTACATCTCCGGTCTTTTAACACAGAGTTGTGGAAATAGTGATATATGCCTTTTGTCAACAAACAATTCCGAATTATATCATATAAAATGCAAAAATTCATATATCCTATCATCAACAGGAGAGTGTATACTTCCCACTGAATGCAACAAAATGTCAACAAATGAGTGTATAAAGTGTAATGAAAAATATCACATGGAAGACGGCAATTGTGTTAAAAATGACGAAGACTGTTCTATTGAAAATGGAAACATCTGTGTTTTATGTTCCAGTGGAATGACGACGGGAGGGAAATGTAAAGACATAAAAGAAATCAATTGCAAAGTGTTTAATGAAACGTGTAAAACATGTAACGATGGGTATTACAAGAATTTAGATTCATGTGATTTAATCGAAGAGAAGTATCCAAATTGTAAACAAATATCTCTTGTGACTTCCAAGTGTGTTGAATGCGAAGAAGGTTATTTCCAGTCAACAGGAAGTTGTGTTGAAATTACACAACCGACTTTAACAGAAGAAAATGTGACCACATTCAAATCAAATGTAGAAGAAAATTGTGAGACTAAAACCACAAAAGGATGCACGCGGTGTAATGAAGGGTTTTACTTAGAAAATGGGACATGTTACGCATGCCAATATCCATGCACTCAATGTTCGACTCAGACATATTGTACTGCATGTGATGAGTATTCGTACGACAAGAATGGGCAATGTTTTGAGATTAACGACCTTCTTAAAGTGTGTCAAGTGATGATGTCGACATACAGTGGATGTGTGATATGCAAAGATGGATACCTTCGTTCATCGGATGGGAAGTCGTGTGATAAGTGTGATGAATCATGTCGCACATGTGGCAATGATGGTACTTGTTTTGAGTGTTCTGAAGGGTATTATCGAACAAGTTTCAACTCCACCAAGCTCTGCAACAATTATAGTGAACTTCAGGGGTGCACAAATAAGACTTCGAGTGGCTGTGCATCATGTGAAGATGGATTATATCTCTCCCATGATACATGTCACTTATGTAATGAATATTGTGAAACATGTTCATCACTTTCAGAGTGTTTATCGTGTATTACAGACTATGTTTTATTAAATGGGGAGTGTATGCATTTTTCAAATATAGTTAACTGCATTTCATCATCTGAAGGAAGGTGTTCGGCGTGTGCAAATGATTTGCGACTCAATGCTGATGGTACTCTATGTGAAAAAGTGACGAATTATGGGGTCATCGTTGGAGTACCCATTTCAATTATTGTTGTTATTATTGTTATTATTATTATGATAATAATACTCGTTCTCGTTTTACATCAACTGAAAATCGAAAGCGACAAGATGCAGAATGTCTGCATCTTCCAGATGAAGCGTTCGAATATCGCAATGAAAATTCTTTCGGGAGACGTGTTGACAAATAAGAGCGAACTGACATTTTCGGAGAATGGGGAGTTGAACAAAATCGACACGGAAAGTCGCGAGTTGTTATGTGTTGGAAACAAAGGAAAAGGGAGTTTAAAAGTACAAATAACGATAGCCGACAATTGTGATAAGTACACCATTCGCACTACTCCACAATTGATTACATTAAAGAGTGGGGAAGCGTGTGAGTTTGAAGTGTTTATAGTGCCACTCTGCACTTCACATTTAACAGATAACATTATGATCATCACTTTAGACATCGCCAGTGGTAACAAAACAACATCAAAATTCCCAATCTCAATTTCCACTGAAAATTCGACCAAATTGGATTACGACGAGTTAATCGACGAACGACAAATTGGGGAAGGTTCCTTTGGGATAGTGTATAAAGGGAAGTACAGAGGAAACGATGTGGCTATTAAGAAGATGAAAGAGGCAAATTCACAGAAGGGGAAATCGTTAGATGAGTTTGAGAAGGAAGTGAATATGTTAGACAAATTCCGGAGTGATTATATCGTTCATTTCTATGGCGCTGTTTTCATACCAACAAAGATCTGTATGGTCACTGAATTTGCGAAATATGGCAGTTTACAAGACTTGATGAGAGAGCAGAAGGACAACACATATAGTAATCAACTGAAGCAAAAAATCTGTTTGGACACAGCAAAGGGAATTAAGTACTTGCACTCAAATGACATTTTACACAGAGACATCAAGCCAGACAACATCTTAATTTTCTCATTGGAATTAAGTGTATCGGTCAATGCAAAATTGACTGACTTCGGGTCTTCAAGAAATGTCAATATGTTGATGACGAACATGACATTCACTAAAGGAATTGGTACTCCAGTGTATATGGCGCCCGAAATCTTGAACCAAGAGAAATACAAGAAGCCAGCAGATATGTACTCCCTTGCTATTACAATGTATGAGATATTTACTTGGAACGAGGCATATCCTAAAGACCACTTCAAATTCCCATGGAAAATCGCCGAATTTGTGAGTAACGGATATCGCCCAAAAGTGAACTTGGTCATCCCATTAGCCATATTCAATGTGATTGACGGATGTTGGGCACAAAACCCAGCTGAGAGGACGTCTATCGACGATGTTATAATCAAATTACAATGATAAAATAGTGTTTTTCGATTTGATTCTATTGAAACCCTAAAATTGAAACACAAGTGTTGTTACTCAAAAAGAGTTGTTTTGTCACTGTTTCCTTTCTCTGCGGCTTTCTCATCTTCTTTGACGTATTTGAAGTCTTCTGCAATCTTTTTGTCGATTGCAGGGTATTCATCTTCCATTTTCCCTATAAAGGAAATCATAGTGAGTAATTCACTTGGAAGGTTTATGTCACTTTGATCGTATTGATACCTCTGCTTTTTCTGTGTTTTGAATGCCCCATAGTTCTTGTATGACCAGAAATACTCATTTTCACTCTTTCGAACACATTGCCCGTCTTCATATATTAACAGCATGTCATCGTAAGTCTTGTTCAATACATATTCAAAGTTGTATGAATTGCCTTTTGCATGTCCGGGAAGCTGCACTTTGATCTGAAAGCCTCTCTCTGTTTTAATAACATCAAACGCTTCTCCGTTGCCACTCAAGTGCACTTTGTCAGTGTATTGATCAACTTTTGATTGATACATACTCTTAAAGAAAGCTTCATCGTATTTCTTTACAAGTGGTGTGCATATCTCATTAAAGCACTTTTGAACTTCACTTCCAATGAACGTGAATAACACATCTCCTACTAAATTGTTCTTCTTTGTAAATTGAAGAGTACTTTGCATGTTTTCTAAAGCCTCTTTGTAAGTTTCTAAGAACACTGTTGCTGATATCTTCTCAGCAAAGTTGTAACCTTTGGCTATAAATGCAGTGTACTGGCACTTTGGGATTGAAGCTCCAAAGTAATTTTCAGAAGGGAACACTCGTGGACAATCAAGTTGATATCCCACAAAACTGATAACCGGTGCAATACAGTTAATAGTGCTCTCCATCTTCACATCGAACATCCGAGTCTTTTCGGAACACCCAAACTTCTCGAAAATTGTTCTGATTTTGTTGTGCACAAGTGACTTCTCGTCATTAGAAAAGACGAACTGAGTGTCATCTTTTTGAGTCAAAGTGTCTATCATTAATTTTGAGTATTGATACATATCACTGTAATTTTGTGCTATTAAACTGTTGATGATTGCATAATTAAAGTTGACCAAATTTGCTTTGAAGTTGTATGAGATTTCATTATGCATATGCTGAATGCCACTTATCTCTGAATTGTATAACTCGTTGTCACTAAATTGGTGCATTGCCATAAATTGTTTGTCGGTTTGTGGAGTCCGATTAACAAGAGGAACCGTCGACTCCACAATGTACAACACATTAGGTAAAAAGCCCTCTTTTTTCTTTAACAACACAAAGTTGTCGACATTAGAAACAAACTCTCTGACTTCATTTAAAAATGAATAATTAGAGCGCAAGAGTGTTTCAATTGCAAGTGTTTTTGGAAGCGCAAATTTGTCGTCCAAATCTTTTAATTGAGTTTTTGCCAAGAACTTTTCGACGAATTTGAGTTCACTTGTGTATAAGACCAGTTTGCTTTGATCTACATGGACATCAATTAAAGCCTCTTTTATAGATTCTATTACAAATGAATTTTGAGCAAAATCCAGTTGAAGACTTTGGAGTGTTTTCACTATAGTTTGGAGCTTAAGTATCAAATTGTTATTATAATTGATATACACATCATCGACACCTTCCTGTTTATTCATGAATTTAATACATTCAATTTGTCCACAAGTATATAACATTATAATTGTATTATACACTTCAATTTCTTCCTTTAAAATTGCAGGCAGATCTTCAAAGGAAATATCGAAGAAGTCATATACCATTTCGAGTGTAAAGCACGTCTTATTCATTTGAGTAGTAAATTTCCTAATGGTATAGAAAATGTCTTCTTTCCCTCTTTTTGTGTCTATATTACAGAACTCTAATATTGGAAGTTTACTCTCAAAAATGTCTTCCAAGCATTTCTTGATAGCCACCACACACTCTTTTTCTTTGTTTTCATACGTGGTATTGAGTGTATTTAAAAATAGTTCTTTGTGTGTTTGGTCAAGTACAATTTCATTACTCTCACCCAACACATAATTCAAGTACTTTTTCATTAATATGACCATTTCAGTGTTTTCCTCTTCGTTATTTTTAGTGAAGTAGTGTTGGTAATGCTCTTTAAATGTCACGTCTATGAAATCACTCTGTGAAAAAGTCGTCTTGTCTTTTTGAGAAAGAAGTACCAATTTCTTTGTTAATTCTTGTGTATTTTTATTTCTGCTTTCCAAAAATTTGATCGCATTTTCAAATTGCGTTTTCCCACATATTTTTGTGAAGGGCTGATGCTCAAGTTTTATATGGACAGAACCTTCAATGAAATACAGTGCACTTATCGCATCATTTAACGCTTCTATCTCATCAAATTCAAAATCATTTGTTACACAGAACTTGTCGGCCTTTTCAAAAAGATTTTTGATTGTTTGAATTCCTTTAATATTTTGATGTTGAAACGTTTTGATGAATATCATTGCACTCTTAATAAGAAGTATTGTTCTATTAAAAGGGTGCACGTAACTCGAATTTTCTTGTACGAACGCCTTCTCTAAATATTCAGCAAGGCGCTCAAGATGTTTCTCATCATTTTTTTCTACGTGTTCGGCCAAAGCCAAAACAGAGTCTTCAATATACGATTTAATGTTAGAAATGTCTTCTGTTTGTGCAATGTAACACAACTCCTTCACTTTTTGGTCTGTGGTCTCCTCTTCAATTTTCTTTGTTTCTAAAAGTTGTGTTTTGACTTCATTCACCAAGTCGGGAATTTCGTTAAAGAGTTCGGTCTTTTCTTTATCAGACTTTTTAAGTTCGTTCTGTGATGAGATGTTCTTGAGTATTTGTGCTACCAACTCCGCTATAACAACTCGGACGTGTGCGATCCTTTCAAAGTCTTCTGCTTCTTTGCATATCTTCACCGAGTCCCTCTTCATCTTTTCATAGAAGGCAAAGACTTTGAGATAATTTTTGTCGACCTCCAGAATTCGGTCTTTTTGTATTAAACAGTTGAAGGGGTAGATCTTCTCGTCTTCGATTTTCTCTATGAACTTCTCCAATTTATTAATTTCGTTTTTAAGTGTTTGGCCGCCTAATCGTTTCTCAACACACCTCTCAACTTCTCTCATCGACTTTTGTGCGTTGTTTATGTTAGATATCAACAAAAAGAAACATGCATCTTCTGTTGTTATGTCCAGTTCTTTTAATTGATCGTCATATGTATATTTTGCTTTATTAAAACCTTCTATATTCTCTTCATACAAACTTTTTGCACATATAAATTGCTCTCTTGCTCTCAAAGGAGTCGTCTTTAAAAAGTCTTTTGCTGTTTTCACATATTTAAGGTATTCGTTGTTCTTAGAAAGCATTGTTTGTCGTTCTCCAATTAAATCGACACTTTCTTCATTATTATGAGCAAACTGATTGAACACAACAAGCACATCTTCAACTTTTTTATTGATCGTTTTCATTTGCTCGATATAGTCTTGATAGTGCAAGTCATTGACACCAAACACATCTTCTGAATATTTCTTTTTGGCCTGTGAGATTTGTTCTTCAAATTTTTGACTGTTGACAACAGTAGTGTAGTACTCCGCTAATTTGGTGGAGCGGCCAACTTCACATATAAACCACTCACATAATGAGACGGGTATTTTCGCCTTTACTTTCTCTTCAAGTTGTGAAACAACCTGTTGAGCTTTGGAAAGCACTGCAAGATCATTGAGAACTTCTTGATTTTCTTGTACTATTGCTTTTATTTCATACACTTTTTGAAATGTCAGCACACCACACTCTTCAAGTGTACACAACACAAACATCACTTTTTGTTCCAAAATTTCAACAACATTTTCTTTAGTAATAACTTTGGTGTCGAACTTTTCTAACGCTTCGTTGTAGGCATCTCTGTACATTTCATACTTCTCAAACACATCAAATAGTGCGGAATTATCAACAATAAATTTCTCGTAATTTCTTTGTATGGCCTTCGGTATATCACAGACATCCATTTTCATCATTTTGTCTAAGACGTTATATAACTTAAATATCACTTCGTCTTCCTTTGTAGGCACAACACTAAATGACAAATTTTGTAACAACATTTTCTTGACATATTCTAAACACACAAATGGCTTTTGCGCATCTACGTGGTTCTTGTTGTTCTCTATTAAGTACATTTCTCTCATGTTTTGTTGAATAGTTTGAACCGCTTTCTGCATGAATATCATTTCTATCTTTTCTTGAGTCATTTCAAGCTCTTTCGCAAAGTTGATTTTAAATCTTGAGAGTAATTCTCTGTGGTCGTGTTCAATGGATTTGATTTGGTCTAAAGTCTCCTTCAAAAATTTCAAATCAACGGAAGTTCTAACATTTCTGATACACATTTGCACATCGTTTGTTATTTTCTTCACTTCCTTTTCATTCTCAATGTCATTTGATATTTTCTGAATGTCACTTTCGCTCAGTGTTTGGTATATATTTTCATAAAGAGGGCAATACCTCAAAAATTCAGTTCTAAAATTTTCAAGTGATTTTTCTGATACAACAACTTGTTGAAGAAGTTGTTTAACTTCGTCATTTGATTTTGAAACGGTGAGGATTTGTCCATTCCGAATAGCAATTTCAATATTCATTTTCTTCGTCTTCACCATTTTGACTTTGTCAAGTAATTTGTGTATGACATTCATATCAAACACTTTCTGGAGTAAGTCACTCATTTGCTCGGCTTCAAATAGCCTATCCACCTCTTCCAAATATTCAACTTTACTCTTAACTTCATTTTTAAATGTCATGACAGTGCTTTTCATAGTCACCAAATTGTTTCTTGATGTCCAACTTTTGTCAAAGAGTTGGACCAATTTGATGTATTCTGTCAGACTCTCTTTACCAATCCATTTCTTTCCTGTGCTTCTCACGCTCATTTCAAATTTTGTCTTCTCTTCAACACCATCAACTTTTATCTGGTCCTTCACCATTTTAGTAAAGTCCGGTACCTTTTCATTTACATCAATATCTTCATTTTCAATCCGCATTTTCTGATTCACCATCTCACTCATCGGCATTGCACAAAACCCAAGACACTTCTTCGACTTCATTCGAATCTCCTCGACGTGGTCAAAAAAGTTTTTACTTTCTCTCTTGTGTTGGATTATATCGTTTCTAATAGACCACGCCGTCTGTTTGTATCCACGTACCCAGGGTTTGTTAATTACCATATCAACGTCTTTTGATATTTTATACACCTCCATCATATCCTTTTTCTGAACGGCAGCCGCAAACACACTAAACGCGTTCGATGGAAGGTGCAAGCAAAACTCTTCTAAAAACAAAGTCTTTAATTTTAACACTATTTCGCTGTTGTCAATAAGTAAATTGAATTTTGACATCCTCCCATTGTCTTCTTCAATCTTTTTGTTATACACATTCACTCTCTCAAAACATGTGGTAAAGTCCTTTGCTTCTAAACAGAGTTTCTTACACTGCTTCAACCCTTCTTCAACTTCTTTGGCTTCTGTGAAGTACATAGACCCATTAAATTCTTCATAAAAATTGAAGGTATCAAGAAAAGTAAAGTACTTTGCGAACTCCGGTTTAATCTTTGATATACCATCTTTAAGTTCTAATGCACAGAAATTTGGATCGGCGTCAGTTGGGACAGATATCAATTTCATCACATTAAAATATGTTTCAGTTGTTGCAACAGTGAATGTCTTAGCCGTCTTACTTTTCTCGATTGTTTTGACCAATTCTGGAAATCTATTTTTCTCAAGTATTACTGCAATTGCCCTCGCTATTTTTGAAATATCATATTCACCACTTTGAATGATGGGTATCATTCCTTTGACTTCATTTTTTATTACTGCACTTTTTACCTCCACTTTGGGTTGAACTTGTGGCACTTTCTTTTCGACTATTTGTACATTCTTCATCTCAAGGACTTTATCATAAAGTTCGTATACAGCTCCGGTCTCGGGCTTGTACTTCGTCATCTGTTCTTTTAAATTCAAAAATGTCGAATTGGGCTGTGACTTCACAACAACTTCATTCATCTTTGTCTCAATTTTGTTGAACGTTTCTTCTCGCTTTATACTATTTTCTTTGATCTCCTTTTCTTGCTCGAAAAGTAACATTTTGAGCGTGAAGAACTGTACTTTGAAGACATTTTCTAAAACGATTTTCTGCACTTTTTCCTCGGCATCTGAAAAATCCTTTGCATGACTAATTCCCCTCTTTTCGTATTGCTCTTTGTTCTTTTCATATATTTGTTTTAACACTGAAATGTCTTTCACAATTTGTTCGACAGAAGTCGCCACTTTGATCTTGTGGAAATCGGCTATGACTTTCTTTTCTTCATTTAAAAACGCTTCCTCCTTTTTGATGTTTTCTATAACTTCAGAGTGATTGGTGTTGATATAGAACTCAATAAAATTCTTGAAGTCCGGCTTTTCAGATATTATTTGGTCTTTAATGCTCAAGCAGTTTGTTTGTGTGTCTTTCACCAAAAATGTGGTAAAACAACTTGAAACAATTTTTATTGCACTCTCGTATTGTTTCCAATTGGACTTCTTAATGGCATCTTGAAGTACTTCATATCGTGTTTTGGCATTTGTCATCAGTACTGTCGCTTTGTAATGAGCGCCTTGTTGTATTGCGACGTCGCCCTTTCCTTCCTTTT